CCCAACAGCACACAAACGTGTGAGTAATTCATTGCTTCAGACATTACAATGGCTATGACACCACTAGACAACTGGGAATTTTTCAGCTCTATTATAACCTTACGGTACCACCATCATACATGCAGTTTGTCATTGACCAAAACATTGTGATGCAGCACATGACTCCATTCCCATTGGTGAGTCATACTGTTGAGTTTTTTTATAAAGATGGTAGTTAGAAGTATTCATAGACTTCTATAAGCCTTGCTAATTTTTAAGATACATAATTATTTTAAAATAGTTTCAAACTGGGGAAATCTGAATAAAATTGTTGGATTATATCGATGTCAATATCCTAGTTTTGATATTATACTATAGTTTTTCAAGGTGTTACTATTGGAGGAAAGAGGGTAGAGGGTACACTGGATTTCTGTGTATTATTTATTATAACTTTATGTAAATTTACAATTATATGTATAAAACTTCCAATCATGTAGTTATCACAAAGAATTATATTCCTTATATCATTTAATTCTGTTTTGCAAAAGATAACTTTATGCATAATATAATATAGTACTTTATAGACTTTAAGCCTGAATTACCTGGACTTGAATCCTGCCTCCACCACTTTTTAATTGACCAAATTACTTAACCTGTCATGGTTTTGTCTTTCTCATTAAGACTAACAAGTTAGTACTCCATAGAGTTTTGAGGATTAAATGAGATAGAGCATGTAAATCACTTTCCCAGGCTTGACATATAGGAAACACTGGAAAATACTAGCTGCTGTGATTATTACTATCATCATCATTAACTTCAGTAAGTAGAGCTAGAAAGGAGCTTTTCATTATCTCTCAGTCTAGATTCTATTTGGCTACTGGATATTTTGGCTTGTCTTTAGTAAAGGGCAATTTGAATTTTCATATTGTTCTTTTACTTAAAATAAGTTAAGGACAATTTTATCTTTTGGAACTAAATGCTTATTGCTTATGAATTTATTGTAATCAATTATTGGAATCAGTGACAGTAGACTTAAAGTCAGATTGTTCTGGGTACAAAATGAGAGAGAAGATGAAAGAAACTGAAACTAAACAGTATAATATCCATATTCCCAAGTCACCTCCAACAATATACCCCTGAAAGATTAAATTATTTTTAGTTGCAGACCTCCAGATTTCCTCTACCAAAAGCGTGTACACATGTGATTTCTCTCTCTCTTTTTCCCTATCACTAAAGTCCATGTGATGTAATGGAAAAAGCCCTGGACAGGGTAATTAGCAGTTCGGGATTCTAGATCCAGCTCTGCCATAGGCAGTGTGACCTCAGGCTTTTACCTTCTCTAGCCACCTGTTTCCATGCGTAATTTGTGAGGTTTGATTTAGGTTAGTGATTCTCAGAGAGTGGTCCCTGGATCATCAGCACCGGCTTCACCTGGAAACTTGTTAGAAAAATACACTCTCCTACCAGGCCCCCACCTCAAATCTATGGATTCAGAGACTCTGAGGGTAGGATTGAGCAATTTTTGTTTTAACAAACCCTCCAGAGTCAAATGTGCACTAAGGTTTGGACATCACTGCTCTGGATTATTTTAGTCTAAATTTTGGACAGTTGGACCCAACCCCAGAGCTTCTGATTCATAGGTCTGGGGTGGAGCCCCATAATTAGCTTTTTTAGAGTTCTCAGGTGTTGCTGGTGCTGCTGGTCAGGGACCACACTTGGAGAACTAGTAGGTTAGATCAACCCTAAACTCTGCTTCTCCTCTGAGTCTATCATAACCATTGCTTTCACTATGCATTCGGTCCCCCTCCTTATTTACTCTGGCCCTCAATTTACTGAAACTGCCTCTGAGCTAACAGCATTGACGATTTCTAACATATCCTGCCTTGTGGATGGTGATGGACAGAAAAGAACTACCCTAAATTATTACACTTATGTTAATATGAAACACCTATAGCTTTTTGGCATTAAAAATGACCCCAGATAGTCTACTTGGTTATCTCATGTACATAGCTGATTACAAAGGAAATATCTTCAGGCACCAAGATTCAAGAATTAAGATCTGATGCCTAATTGCCATTGATCCCTTTATGATCTGAAGAGCTTAGGCACCAATATAAAAATAAAATTGTTTTCATTCTAAGATGCTGGTTAATGAATAACACTAAAAATCCCAAATTACATCTTCAAATGATCCCTGTAATCCCACCTCTTCTTTTTCATGATTTTCTAGATACTGGGGATGGGATAATGCTCTGTGAGGCATGGCATCTGCTAAGAATATGACAAGCCTCTGCTTGCCAAACTGAATTATTTAGTTGGCTCATGTTTTCTGTTTTGAATTAGAGTTATGGGTAAGATCCACTCTTCTTTCATCAGTAAATTGATTATTCTCTAGTACCGGATATTCAAACTATACAAAAAAGATATCAAGGACCTAACATGTACCGAGTGCCTATGATGTGCCAGCCACTGTGCCACAAGCGTCACTCTCCTTGTCTGTTTAATCCTCACAATGGCCATACAAGGTAGTATCATTAGCTTTGCTTTTTACATGACAGAACAGACTCAGAAAAGTTAAATAACTGTTAAAGATCACATAGGCAACAGAATGACAATGTATAGATTTAACTTTATCAATGTCAGAGTTAAGCTTGTTTGACAGCAAAGCCTTCGTAGGCATAGTAGATTCTGGATAAATGTGTTGAATGAATAAAAGAATGAGTATATCACATTATCTTCCTAATGTTGACTTTCAAACAATCATGAAAGTATAAAGATGGAAAGGCTTTATAGTTTATTATATAATTAGAGTTTTTAATACATATCCCTTCAAGATTTCTATTATGTAGGTATAAAACCTTTACTTGACCACCTATAGGGAAGTGGCACACATACCCACTAGATTCTGGATAAATATGTGTTGAATAATCATTGTTAGAAAATTCTTCTTTGCATTAAATTTGCCTAAAATCCCCCACCTCTCTCTTTTGAGCCCAGTTCTGCTCTTTTTAACTACGCAGGCTTAATCTGGTTCGTCTTCCATACCACACTCCTTCAAATATTTGAAGACAGCATATCTTCACAACTCCTATGTGGGATAGCTCTATCCCACACTAAATAGCCCCCATTTTTCCAGCTATTTCTCAAGATGCATAACACATTCTAATAACTTAATAAATGTTTGTTAAATGAAAGAAGGAAAGAATAAATAAATACAATACCTAGACTTCTCACTTTCTTGTTCCCTATTTTTAGAGTGTGAAGTATCTGTGCTATGTTCTAGGTACATGGTAGGACCATATTTCCAGGAGTAAATGAAATGACTTCCTTTGATATACTTTTGCACTGAACAATAGTCACCCACAAAAAATATTTTTTTACTTTCTGACATAGAACAGTGCCCTCATTTTTGACATCTCAGATTTGCATCAGGTCACAAGAAGCTGGAGTTGAACTGCAAACCTAGTCCTTTTGTTCAGGGTTAAAGGCAAGACCTGGGCACTAGGGGATCAGCTTCAATTTAAGCAGGCTAAGTTTGTACTCTGAAGTACAAAACTTGGGCTTACCTCAGCTAAAATGGAAGAAATAGCTGCCCAAAGCTAGTTTCTTTCACGCCCCACTGGCAAGGTAGTAATTGCACAAAGACCTTTTTATTATAAGTTGATTTTCCTGAGAAATGAATTCAGAAAAATACTGTAAAGTGTTTATTTTTTGCTTGCCCTTTATTAACCCACATCTTAGGGCTTTCCCTGGAGAAAAACTGTTGGTAAATGAAACCTCCTAGACCTACACAGAAGCATTTTGCACTATGTCCCTTGCTATAGAGGGAAAGAGGACAGGACAAGGCAAGTTAGTGCTATGTAAACAGGGTCATCAGCCAGTATATGGAATTTTGCCTAAAGAGAAGATTTAGGAATTTAAATGGGGAAGGGTTTGGGGCTTGTGGAATTACTGGTAAAGGTGTGTATCTTAAATAGAATATAATATAGCCTTTTCATGCTAGTAAAGAGACCAAAAACCCAGTTTGAACTAAAAGATCTTTTCTGTTAATACACCCTAGTTTTGATCTTTAAATAACAAAAGTCCTGTAGTTCAACCCATAAAATCAGGCCCTAAAAGCCAGGACAAAACCTTCCTGTGATGCTCTACTGGAAACAGGGCAGCACGTGTGGTGTGAAGAAGGGAGCTAGGAAATTAAAATGTGATTTCCACAGGCATGATTCTGTCATAGCTCTTATTTTCTTTATATGGAATACAAATTCTGATATAGAGAGTGAAGATTTTCTGTTTTGCATTTTTGTGCTCTTTGATACATTTATTGAGGTCAAATGAAATTTGATATAGTAGGATTTATTATGAAATGCTCTCTGAATACAACTCCATAATTACTGAGCTACATGGTAGTGCATAAAGCTGTAAAACTGCTTAGCCAGACAGGCAATTTATATGTTACATCGAGGTGTGTATGGCAAAGAATATTAGTTTAATTGGGAGCCAAGATGTAGTAGCCTTAAATCTGAAGAGCTATATGTTTAACATAATGCAGTGAGGCTTTGAAATAAGATACCTAAACTGGGGAGATACAGCTTTTGGAATACATAACAATTAGACATTATTTTCTGACCTAGGATACTAAATACTATTTTCAAAATAAAGCACAGAATGCACAGCCAGGGAAAGGGTAAAACCTTTTAGCATTGTATGGTGTAAGAAGCAACTTATTTCTTTGTTTTAAAAAGGGAGAAAATAGAAAGAAAAAACTCAAGATAAAAGAAGCATTTACTATAATTTAGTGGAAGCAGGGGAAAGCAAATTCACAATGAGGTTATGTTCTTGGTGTACTAATGGAATTTAAGAGGAGGGATTTGGTGAATTTTGCCTGAATTTTCTCAGGGAGCATATTTGGAATGAGGTTAGAAGTGGGTGGCTGTTTGGGTACCAGCACACCACCAGGAGTGAAAAACAAATACCGCTTGGCGTACATTTGCTCTCTGTCTGATCATAGGCTCTCTTCTGTTTAGCAGGTTCAGGGTCACATGCCTCCGCTTATGATCCCAATTTTTCCACATGACCAGCGGACCCTGGCAGCAGCTGCTGCTGCCCAGCAGGGATTCCTCTTCCCCCCTGGAATAACATACAAACCAGGTAAGTAGAGAGGGATTTAACATTCTTTTGGAAATGCTAAAATCCACATGTTTTTGCTTAGTAGTCACAACAAACACAGGAGCACATGAAAGAAGTATGAATAAAAAGACCAAAAAAGCTTATTTAAAAGTAAAATTAGAATTGGAAAGTTAATTGGGAAAGTAACATGATAATAAAGTAATTGGTTGTTAAAACTTTTACTTTCTCTTCTTCTCCTTGAATTTGAGTTCACAGATAAATTGCTACTTTCCCTGGGGATTACAAATTTTTGTGAGCTCGCTCTTACCTTCACTGTGAATAATGGTCTTTGGCTAAAGATGCTTTCCTCCCCCCTGAGAGCTTTTATATTCTGGCAGAGTGGTCACATACAGTATGAAATGTTATTATTCGTTGTATGATTTCTCTTGGAAGAAAAGTTAAAACTGGACTGACTTAATTAGCTTACTATTAATAGGTAAAATTCTTTTTGATTTTAGTCTAAATAATGAAGCATTCAGTAGTATTTTCTCATTCATCTTTCAGCCTCAAAGAACAGGTCACATAACCTTGCAGTGAAATATGTTTTGAGATGATTTAGCAAATGTTATGATTTTTCTTTATTCCTCTGAGTTTACTGGACTCCTGGGGAATTCAATTAGGGACACATAATGGTTTGAAGCTTCTTTCAGAGCCTCCTTGTAAACAGGGCTTTAAATGTTTAAAGATATGTTGCTAAAGGAATCTAATGTAAGGAGATAGTCAAGTAAATAAAAGTTAACCTTAATTTCATTTGTGAATTCTTTGTAAGTGACCTCAGCTCAGAAGTAGTGACCTTGTTCTACTCATTAATAATTTCTGTGTCAAGTTCTTTTTAATATATTAACCTGCTTATATTAACCACCAAATCTGAGTGTAAGACATTACACTCAGTAGTTTCTTTGTGCTTGGGGTTTATAAAATGAACAAAGGTATTTTAATATGCTTAAAGCAATAATAAAATATAAACCACTTTACTAAAATTCTTGGTAAGGAAGCTTACTAAATAGCATAGGAACAAACCTGGTAAGTTTTAACATCTATTTTAATTGCTATTTGCCATTGATTACTCTTTTATATTTGGTAGAGAACACCCTTCCTTGTGAGCAAAGGTAGGATGTTTGTGTCAAAACTCAAAAGATTCAAAGAATAGAGGTGGTAAGGGTCTGGCTAACATAAGGACTGACTTTGTGGAAATTCCTCAGGTACAAAAAAAGTCAATCCTAGTATTAACAAAGGTTTTTGGTCACCTGAGTGAAAGAAAATTATGTTATACAAATTGCTAAAAATTGATTTTTGTAGAGCAGAATTCCTAGAGGAAGTTATATTCCCTATGGAACTGGATTTCATATTAAGGGCAGGAGTTTATTTTCTGAGAATATGTTTCTGTCAGTGCAGGGGTTCAGTCCTTCTCTTATCTCTGCAAGTACTTCTGAACTTATTCTTCATCGTGACTCCCTTTGGAATGTTGATGTAAACTAAATTTATTGGTTTATTCCGAGTCTGAGTTTATCATCTCTACGCTAGTGTTAGAACGCTTTTAAGTTAACTCTATGTGGAAACTCTATTTAATTTCAGTGTTTTTAAATTTAAAATCTTCCACACTTCAAAATCAAGTATGGGCCTTATTTTCAGTTAGATATAGTCATCAATATAGTTAACATGTTACTTACCTAATTTTGTTAAAACAATAATGACATTTTTCTTGGGGAAAGATATTGTTATACAGTCAATGAAGTTGGACCATTTTTCCAAAATGTCTTCTCATACAGCATCAATGAAATTATAGTATGTAACTAAGAAGAATATAGTGATTTGGGCTATAGTGCCGAAGTGAGTTACCTCTATTGAACAGCATGTGTGCAGCACAGAGTGGTGTTCTGGGGAAACAAAATAGTATTTACTTTGGCTAAAATCTTTTGGTTAAGACAGGACAATGGATTTGGACAATAGGGCAATTTTTAATCACCAGCAAGGCTGGTGAAAAAAATATTTTCTGATGACCCCTAAGTTATTTCAGAAAATTTAATTAACCAGAACACTATATTCTTTAATACTTTGGCTAATCTAGGCTTTATTGTATATAAAAATTATACTTAAAAGGATTAACATTATATACTCTTACACTATTAATAGAGAAATCACATACTCAGAAGCCTTAATCTATGCATGGGTCTTGTCATTCCCATGAATTGGGGGAAGAGAATACTGTTGAACTGGAGTGTGGACTAGAAAAACTTTCTTGCTCAAAATTGAGCTATGATGATTTTACTTGAAATACACATGAGACAGTGACTAAATTTTTAAAAGAGAGTAGCTTTGTCACATATAAAAGCCTTTAAATGGTCACATAACTTTGTATTTTGGTCGCCTAAGCAAAAGGCTGAGCGAGTGCTACTACCTCAGTCTTTATAAATAACAAAATTAATGGCTCTCTTCTTTCTTCTTTTCTACCTTCCCATAACCTAAAACAATTCCATAGAGTTTATGCCTCCAGCTGATGGAATGATGGTCTTGGTGGCTAGAAAGGCAGGACCTCCTTAGGGTGATGTTCACATCAAAGCTGACAGTTTCTGAACCTATACGAGGACAATCTAAACAAATATATTTAGGGCTATGGTCCTTTCTTTTCAGATGTGTTGACCCTTTGCTCTGGGTGTCTCAGGGTCTCAGTGTGCAGTGAACACCAAGCAAGCCCTCCCACCTCGCTGGCTTGCTGAGCCAGGATGCTGCCGACAATGGCTGCGCAGTTTTAGGGGAACATCTACCCGATTGATCTCTGCAGAAATAGCTTTATTGAGTTTTAGCCCCTAATCCAAAAAAGTTTTTTAATGGTTCAATAATTACAGACATCTTTCTAGAAGGAAACTCATCAGTGCTCAAAACATAAACCACAGACTTTTGGTTGCTTTGCTCTTCTACATCGTGATACTGAACAGTGCAGCAATCCAGGGTAAGGTAAAGACATTTGAGCACCTATATTTGAGGACATTTAAAAAGAGAGCCTCTTTCATAGTTGTCAATGTATATATCAGTCAAGATTGAATTGTCTGTAAAATAAGAATATTTTATACATCAGGGATGATACACTTACTAGTTATAATGTAATAGCTAAAGCTTACTGAATACTTTGTGCCAAACACTGTGCTAAATATTTTGAATGGATTATTTTAATTCTTACTTGAACATATTTAACCTTGCTGCACCTCACATTTTTATCATCTACAAAAACATGCTATGATTTTTGTCCACCGCTCAATGTAGGAGTAAAGATTAAGTTTGTTAAAATGTATGAAAGTTCTTCCAAACTCTAAATCGCTAGGTTTGGGGATAAAATCTGATCATGAAGCTGAGTGAATTTAACTACATTAAACTACATCCTTATCCATTAAAAATGTGGTCCCAAAACTGACCCTTTGGCTGAGATGTACTGTCCCTCAGCTTGACAACCAAAAGCAATTTACAAGCACACCTAATGCTTCTTTTTTAAAAATGTGGTAAAATGTAACTACCATAATAATTATCATTTTAACCATTTGTAAATGTACAACTCAGCAATATTCATATATTTACAATTATGTAAACTATCACCACTATCAATATCCAAAATTTTAATCATCATCAAAAAAGTCTGTGGCCATTAAGCAATAATGCTTCCGATTTCCCTCTCCTTACCCCTAGTAACCTCTATTCCACTCTTTCTCTATGAATTTACCTATTCTAGGTACTTCATATAAATGGAATAATACAATACTTGTCCCTCTGTGTCTGGCTGATTTCATTTTCAAGGTCCATTCATATTATAGCATATATGAAAAAGTCATCCCTTTTTATGGCTGAATAATATCCCATTTTGTACATATATTTTTCTGTGTGTATGTTTTGTTTGTTTATTCATTCATCTGCTGATGGACACTTGGGTACTTTCTACCTTTGAGCTATTGTGAATAACGCTGCTGTGACCATTGATATACAAATATCTTTTCCAGTCCCTACTTTCAGTTCTTATGGATATATATGTAGGGGTGGAATTATCGAGTCAGGTTCTATGTTTAACTTTCTGATGAACTACCAGACTGTTTTTCACAGATGCTGTGACATTTTACATTCTCACTAACAATACAAGAGAGTTTCAGTTTGTCCACATCCTCACCAGCACTTGTTATTTTCCACTAAAAAAAATATGTATAGCCATTCTAGTAGATGTGAGGTGATATTTTATTTTGGTTCTGATTTTTCATTTTCCTAATGATTAATGATTTTGAGCATCTTTTCCTATGCTTATTGGGAATTTATGTATCTGCCTGGGAGAAATATCTGTTTAAGTACTTGGCCCAATTTGAATTGGGATGTTTGGTTTTTGTTGTTGAGATTCAGAAGTTCTCTATATATTCTAGATATTATCCCTTATCAGATATATGAATTGCAAATATTTTCTCCCATTTTGTGTGTTGTTTTTTGACATACTTGATAGTATCCTTTGATACGCAAACGATTTTAATTGTGAAGTCCAATTTATTTTACTTTTGTTGCCTGTGCTTTTGATGTCATATTCATGAAATCATTGTCAAATCCAAAGATTTACCCCTACATATTCTTCTAAGAGTTTTATAATTTTAGTACCTAAGCTTAGGTCTTTCATTCACTTCAGCTGATTTTTATATATGGTATAAAGTAAGGATCCAACTTCACTCTTTTGCATGTGGGTATCCAGTTTTCCCGGCACCATTTGTTGAAAAGATGTCCTTTCCCCATTGAAAGGTCTTGGCACACTTGTCAAAAATCAATTACTCATATATGTTAGGGTTTATTTCTGGGCTCTTTATTCTGTTTAATTGGTCTATATATCTTTTCTTATGCCAGTACCATATTACTGTAGCTTTGCATAATTACTGTAGCTTTGTAGTAAATTTTGAAGACAGGAAGTATGGGTCTTCCAACTTTATTCTTCTTTTTCAAGATTGTTTTAGCTTTCAGGGTTTCTT